AATATTGGCATCAGACAATAAATTTAGAGCATACTAACCTTCCTGCAGGTTGGGCACTTCCTCCCCATGTCAGGATTTTCAACACATTCCTTACAAATGGTATGTCCACAGGGTAAGCACTTAGGACGGTGGGAGTCCACGTCAAAGTTGAGGAAACAAATATCACACTTCAGATTCATCTACAACACAAAGAAAAAGGAGTGTCATGATCATAATAAATATATATAACGTACTTTAGTCGAGGAATGAAAGATGGAAGATCAAGAAACAAAGGCAAAACCTTGAACCGCCGGACAACCACAAAAGTTACTAAACACTGAACTTACTTTTCCACGAGTATGTGTTCTGCGCACCGCAAGTAAGATGCACCGATGGGCCGTTCAAACCGTCTCCAGCACGAGAAAAACAGAAACTCGCTGTAGGTTGAACTGCCGTTTAAACGTTGAACGAGTAATAAGTTCTCGGAATAAAGGTTATGTTGTTGGTTTGATTTGATGAAAACACTGGCTCTCGGCTGCTCCGGTAGAGCCCGCGTTTGAATTTTTCACCTTTCCTGCCGGTGCCGGTACGCTGGTGACGTGGCTTGGGATCCGATGTGTGGTCTCAGCGGCTGGTCTGGCTATACGAGCCGTCCTACCGCCCCCAGCCCCCGCAGGTAGGCCGGCCCGCCGCGCCCCGCTGCCCCGTGTGGTTGGGTGGCCTACCCGCCGGGCGCTCACTACCCCGACAGGAGCTCCGGTCAGGAAGTCCCGCCGGTCCCGCTGCACCCTCCCGTTTCGGGTGGCCTAGCCAACGTCGCGAATCTCCGCACAGCCTTAGGTCAGGTCCCACATGTGTCGCGGCCAGGCCGAGCCCAGGCTGCCGGCGTCTGGCTCCGCACCGCACGGGTCCAATACCGGGACGACGCATACCCAAAGCGAGCGTGGCTTTCCATCTTCTCTGTCTGATCGGCGTTTGCTTGCTGTTATGGTTTTTGCTTAGTTGCTGGGAGCGGGTAAACAAACAAATGACGCCTTAATATGAACCCGAATGAATTAGTTATTTTCACAAGTTTGACAGTTCAGACGGCTTTTAACAACAACAAAAAAATTACAAAATTAATTTCGGAGTTGCTGATGTCACACATCCTTAAAAGAGAGTTTTCGTTAAGCAGCACAATTACTGCACGGAAAGCATGTTGAGGACACAGTGAGCGTGTTTTCCTAGAATTGCATAGTCTGACACTTCATGCAGACCACGTCAACAGAAGGGGGCAAGCAGCTCCGGATGTCCCGTCGCTGCACCATGCAGGCCGCCGCCTGGCAGGTCTTCTTGCGGTCGAGGGCAAGATACTGCAAGGCGTGCAAGCCGCAGTCCGCCAGCTCCTGGCCGAAATCCGGGAAGTAGAAGCCCTCACCTTCAGACAAGGTGCAGAACACACGGAGCTCCTGCACTGATGACGCATGGGCGCGAATCAGGGACAGCATGGAAGACTTGTGATGAGTATCGAAGCACACGCCCAGCCACCGCAGACTGTTGTGCTTGGAGGGAGGGAAGGTCAGATTTGGACCAAGGTAATTGATCACCGCCAAGCTGCACAGTCTGGGCATGTGCTCCACACAACGCAGCTGATTCTCGGTTATATTAAATACAATGAGCTCTTCCAACAGCAACGGTAGGTCCGGGAAGTCCACTTTCTCAGCGCATCTCACTTTCAGTCTTCTGAGTCCCGACAGCTTGAGCACCTCCTCCATGACGCTGGGCTGAACTTCACCCGACGTCTCCAGCTCCTCGAGGTGTGGCCCCATGACGCGCAGCAGGTCCTCAGAGCCGTCGCCATGCAACTTCCTGAGGCTGCGAGGCACGGCCCATTGCTTTTGGACTGTTCGCAAAATATCATCCACCTGTAAACGTCCGTTGTCGAGGTGTTTATCAGTTATTGAGAGGACGCTGATCAGAGGCGGCCTCACGTGAGACGGAGAACGGATGGCAGGGATGGCGACGGCGTCGTCAACCTGGAGAGAAAGACAGAGGATGAGCACCTCGTCAACATGAACATGAGCATTATGAGCACGGTTCACCTGCGTGGCGACTCACCATGCCCAGCTGGCCGTCCGCCCCCAGCTGCAGCATCAGCAGGCGTGAGATGTCGCCGCGGCCGCCGGGCTCCACAGAGGCCGTCCAGGCGGAGCCAAACTCCCCTTCGGCAACGACGGTACACTTGACGGAGGTGAGCAGACGGTGGCTGGCCTCCAGCTGCCGCGCCAGCTGCAGCGGCTCCTCCACGGCGTC